TAAATTGGATAAGTCGACAAGGTCCAACTGTATGTTGCTTGTAAGAAATCCACTTTAAGTTAAAAACAAATAGATTAAAAGTAAGATGATAGAAAAAAATACATAACGGGAGCTGGATTACCTATATAATATTGCCTAAAGTAGACTTCAGAGCCAAGTACATTACCTGGGAAAAGAGGTTGTTTCCATAGTGATAAGGGGTACAAGGGTTTCAGCTTACCAAGAGGACATAATCCTAAACACTGATGCACCTAGTAAGAGATCGCCAAAATACAGGAAGCAAAAATTGAGAGAACTGCACAAAATTCTGTCCACAGGTATAGTTGGAGACTTCAATATCATTCTCTCAAAACTTGGTAGAATGGGAAGAAAGTCCATAAGGGCACAGGAGACCTAAGAACACTCCTGGCCAACTTGACCTCACTGACATTTATAAAATACACCATCCAACAGAGACAGGATGCAGCAGGAACGATACAGCAATTCTCAAGAAATTTAAAAGGATTCAAGGCATTTGAGCCATACTCTCTGACTACGGCATAACTAAGCAGAAGTCCATAACAGAAAGGTCTTTGAGATTATTCAACAAAAATATAATCTTCATAACATTTGGTCCAAAGAAGAACCCAACAAAACAAAGAAAGAAAAGAAAAGAAAAGAGTTCTTTGAACCAAATGAAAATGAAGCCACATATAATATCAATATTTATGGAACTAAAGCAGCACTTGGAGGAAATTTTAGAACAAAATCCCTGAATCAGAGAAGATACAAATCATCTTGAGAAACTAGCAAATACAAGTAATCTAAACCCAAAGTCATCAGAAAAAAATAAAGATCAGAGTGGAATTTAAGTGAAATAGGAAACAGAGAAAAATCAATAAAACCAGAAGCTATTTCCTGAGATCAATAAAATGTATAAACTTCTAGTCACACGGATCAAAAAAAGTATCTACACAATCGTACATCAGGAGGAGAAATGGGACGTCACTACAAATCCTACAAATATTAAAGGGAAATAAGGGAGGGGTGCCTGGGTGGCTCAGTCGGTTGAGCGCCCGACTTCAGCTCAAGTCATGATCTCATGGTTTGTGGGTTCGAACCCCGCATCGGGCTCTGTGCTGAGTGTGGAACCTGCTTGGGATTCTGTGTCTCCCATTTCTCTGTCCCTCCCCTGCTCATGCTCTGTCTCTCTCTGTGCCCCAAAAACTAAAATAAAATAAAACGTTAAAGGAGCAAGAAGGGAAGAGTATGAACAAGTTTGTGTCAGCAGACTGGACAGCGTTCAGGGAACGACATATGTGTCCGAAGCTACCTCAGAAAGAAATGGAAAGCCTGATGGCCCTCCATCTTTCGGGAAATTGAGTTGAGTTAAAATGTTCCCATTCTAAATACACACACACACACACACACACACACACACACACACACACTCACACACCCACGCCCAGAGGGCTTCACCTTCCTCAAACATTGGAGGAAGAAACAACACCAATTCTACAAACTCTTCCAGAAACCTGAAAAGGAAGGAACCCCCCACCTTGTGAGGACTGCTTTACTCTGACATCAAAGCCCTCTTGGCCTAGAGAACTACAGAACAACGTCACTCATGAACACTGATACTCTTACCAAATTTTAGCAAAGTGAATCCCAACAATACATGTAACCATAACTACGTCACACCCAAGCCCATGCCTGGGCCACCTTCCGTCTGAGAGTGGACAAAATGGCGCCAGTACCGGTGGGAATCCCGCTCCAGGATTAAGCATTCACTGGCAGAGAATGTTGCTCTACCATCGGCATCATGATTATCTACTGAGCACAAAGGAAGGAACCACACTGGAAACAAAGCATTGTGACAGCCCCAGGTTAGGTGGGTTTATGTGACCAGCCTCGTGTCAGTAGATAATTAACCCCCAGGCTCCGGCCCGGCCGTTTCACAATAGTTTGTGATGTGACTGTGATGTGTACATGACAGACGTACCTACCCAGGGGGTAATCGGGCAAAGTCTGGAAACTTCCTTGTTTTGCTGGCTTTACGGGAAACTTAGGTGACATTTCTTGTCACACATCTTTGGAAAAATGTGTCAGTGTGTTCCCTGAAGGCAACCCTTCCTCATGACACAGGGAGGGTCTCTCTTGCACTGAACTCAATGGAAGGCTCACTCAGAAGTGGGGGCCGGCAGTGGCACAGGGGTACTGTCGGTGGGGAACCCCAGGGCAGGGTCAACCATGAGGCTGACCGACACTTAAAGGGACACTACAGCCAAGGAAAGCACGTGGGAAGCCAGAGGGGAGAAAATGCGGCCTCAACCTTGCTCTGTGAGCGCCTGGCCACAGAGCAGGCGCCTAGCAAGTGCACGGGCTAGGAGCCCAGGTCTGTGCCCCTCCAGGCCGGGCCGGCTCTCCGGCTCCACAGGAGTCTGTCTTTCTCACGCTCTGAGCAGCTATTCACAACTAAAAGATCTGAGATCACGGGGGCCAGCTGATGGCAGGGAGGACACATCTAGGGACCGGCCGGCCTGTTCGCCCTGGACAACCAGCTCGGTGGCCCTCGGCACAGCCCACTGAAGACGCTGTTCTCCGCTAGCTGGCGAGGCTCTGGCAAACAGCAGCAGTCAGATCTCCTTCTGGGAGCCCTGTACACAGGTGTCCTCTCGGCATCTGCTCTGACTCAGGACCTCCCACAGGACACTGCCAACAGGCCCCCGAGCCACCTGCTCCCCGTGTGGAGCGCCAGCAGGAGCGGGGAGGCCTGGGTCCCTCCCGGCATGTTCACTGAGGGCTGGCTGTGTCCCTTGGCCGAAGGGCGTGAGTCTTGTCTGGCGGCCTGCCCTGGGGTGGATGCTCTCCAGGGTGGTGTCCCAGGAACTGGGCCATGCTGGGGCTGCCCCAAACCCACCCATCTGTCAGACGATCCAAGGTCTGCAACCCCCGACTTCACACGAGTGGGGCCGTGGTCAGGCCCTCGTGCAGGACGGCGGTGGCACAGCCCAAGTCCCTCAAGGGGCAGAACCAGCATTGGGTGTGTTCCCCTATCTGCAGCAGGACTCGGGGCCTACCCTGTCCACGCAGCCCAACCCCGGCGTCCCATCCCCATGGGGAAGGAAACGAGGGGCTCAGGATCTCCGTGGCCTCCACCTGCCCAGAGTCCAGGTGTGGAGAGAGGGCAGTGCTGGGCGGTGGGACCCTCAGAATCGGGGGCGTCCCCGGAGCAGGAGCAAACCCAGCACACCGGATGGAGAATGACCCAGATGGGCAAATCCATGGGGATAGGAAGGAGAGTAGTGGCCACTCAGGGTTGGGGTGGTGACCACTGATGGGCACGGGGTTCTTTTGGGGGACATGAAATGTTCTAACGTTGAGGTGATGGCTACACAGCTCTGAATACACTGAAGGCCACCAAGCTGCGTGCTTTACACAAACTGTTGAGTGTGGATTCTGTCTCAGGAAGGTTGTCACGTAAAAAAAGAATAAATAAGCCACGTTCTCTGCCCGGCACACCTATGCACGTACATATATACACGCACGCAGATATGTGCACAGAACACACGGATACGCGCACACTCACGCGTCTTTCCTCTTCTGTTTACCCAAAGCCACAGAATCGTCCTCCCTGAACTTGAACAGACAACCGGCCCGGATGTCCTGGCGGGAATCTGTGCGGCCGGAATCCGTCTTCCCAGGTGAATTAAACCAGAGAAAAGCCAGCAGGCCGGCCCCTTGCCTCTGTCCTTTGCCTGCAGGTGGAGTGTCCCGACAGATCACAATGCGGTGTCTGAAGGGCGCTCGGCCGCACCGAGCACCCACTGTGCACCAGGTTGGCCGCCAAGCTCGAGCGGGTAGGAAGCTACAATTGCTGTATTCCGCACTGGCAGGGAAAATTCTAGGTGTCACCTGGATGGGGCCCCAGAGTGCCCTGACAGCCAGTGAACATCACTTCCGGGTGTGTCTGCACTGGTCTCCAGAGAAACTCACGTTTGAACCATTGGCCTGAGGGACCCAGACAGCCTTCGTCACCCCAATCCCCTGGGTGTTACCTCTCTAGGGTTGGACACCGGCCATCCCTGTGCCCCGGCCCCGGGCTGGGCTCTTGGTATATGGAGGCTCCCACCACCTTGGACACTGCAGAGCCCTGGCCATCCCGGCTCAGCCACGTCCAGCCTGGGCCTGCACACAGGTGGCCCTCACAGCTGTGCCCATCCCACCTCCTGGGCAGGGCTGCCGCAAAGACCAAATGCAAGCCAGAGCCCCGGCCAATAAAGAGCTGCTTCCCCAAACATCGAGTGAGATGACACGTGGCAGCTAACATGCGGTGGTCTCCGTTCCGTGCACACCCCCTGCCCATCCATCAATGGGGAAGCAACTGGCCCGGGGCCCAGAAGTTTGCAGGCTGCACAGACGGAGTGTGAACCTGGACGGGCTGGCCCAGAAAGCCAGATGGCCTCCCCTTCCAAAGGCTGGGGACACAGCAGGTGACAAGGGGGTCAGGGCACACCAGCCATACATCCTGGGCTGGACCCAAAAGTGCACCTGTGAGTGGGTCACACGGCAGGTGCACAGGGCATACCACCTGCCTGGGACTCAGGGCCCATGGACCGCTCTCCTCGGCCCCCTTCAAGCCTCTTTCCCAGGAGACGTGTTAACAGTGTAGACTCCTGCCCCCCTCCTGTAGACCCACTAAATCGTGGGGGGACCGTGCAAGAGTCAGCGTTTTCTGTAGTCTCCCATGACCTGAAGAGACTTGTTGTCACATGCAGCGCAGCGAAGGCTAAGCCACTCTGCACCACAGCCCCACTTGCTGGAATGCCTTTGGGGATGGGGAACTCACTGCCCGAAACACCGCCGAACTCTCGGTCATTAGACAGGGCTCATCAGACTGTGCCCAGCTTGTCGGCGCTGCCTCCTCCACCCGCATACCAAGCTGGCGCCTGGCAGGAGCCCCTGAGTGCCCTCCCTGTGCCACACCCCACCCTCCCGGAAGCAGAGAGAGCTCGGCCTGCCTGTGCTGCCCAGAGGTAGTCCAGCCGCAGCTTGACGTCCACCTGACGGGCGTGCAGGGCCAGGGTGCAGGAAAACAGCAGGATGGCCATGATCGGCTCGAAACTGCGCCCCGATGCCATGCCGCCCCTGTGGAAGACCAGGAAGGAAACTCCATCGGTGCGCAGAATCTGAGAGCTGTCCGCACGTGTCCCCAGACACGACTCTCAGCCGTGCAGAGCACTGACCCTGGCTAGAGCCGCTCCCTCCGGGAAAGCCAAGGCCTTGCTGGAATTGGGGCCCAGACGGACACGTGGAGAAGCCACCAAGGCGATCTGCTTCCTGACCCGCAAACCAGAACGGGCAATGCCCGCCCGGCTGTGCTCCGGAGGGAGCCGCACACCTACCCGGGGGCCCTGGTGTAGCCGCTGAGCTCCAGGACCAGGATGTAGGACGTCGTGAGCACAAAGAGCAGGATCATTTTGGGCAGGGAGGACACCCGCAGGAAGACAGCCAGCGGGAGGGTACCCACAAGGCCGCAGAGCAGGGCGTGGGGCGCCGACTCACAGGGCGCGGCAGGCAGCACGGCGTTGTGGCCGCTGGGTGTCAGGACCACCAGGGACCCGTTGGGGGTGGAGCTCCAGGACCAGGGCAGGCAGCCCACCTGGAGGGGACGGAGGGACAAGGATGGCGGGAGGCACTTGCTCCAGACCAGCCCTCCCTCCTCCCCAGCCCACCAGCCCCATCGAGGCGCTCCTGCCCAGGCTCCCCCCACCCCGATACTCCGACCCACGCCCCCAGGAGCCACCAGCAGGCTCTGCAGCACCCCCTCCTGCTCGGCCTTCAAGGCTCCTCAGTGCAAGGTGCACAGGGCCAGGGGGCAGGAGACCCCCGCCCTCCTCCTCCCCAGGCGGCCAGCCCCATCTCGGTGCTCCTGTCCCTGCCTCCCCCTCCCCCGTTACTCCTGCCCTGCCCCTCCATCCCCTGCACACCGTGAAGAGGACAGCAGCCCCCTCAGCCCCTGTCCACACCTCACGCCCCCAGGAGACCAGCGGGCCCTGCTGCCTGTTGAGATGCTCACCACACATCCTTGGGCCACGGAGTAGATTAAGACCACGACGAAGATACACAAGACGGTGCGGATCTGAATCGTCAGGCACCCTGGAAAACACTGAACAGTAACACAGGTTACTGTGAAAAAGCTGAAACACAGAAACAGTCTCAGTGCAGAGCGCAGGGCCCTGGGGGCTGCCGGACTTCACCCGCCACGCAGATTCCTAGGCTGTGCTCCAGGCTTCACCTCCCAGGTGAAAAGCTGCCCCAACTAAAAGAAACAAAACCCAGTATCTTTGCATTAAAAAGAGCACCCCCTGGGGGGCCTGGGGAGCTGGCAGGTTAAGCTTCCCACTTGGGCTCAGGTCATGATCTCACAGTTTGTGGGTTCAAGTCCCTCATTGGGTTCTGTGCCTACAGCTCAGAGCCTGGAGTCTGTTTCAGATTCGGTGTCTCCCTCGGTCTCTGCCCCTCCCCCGATCGCGTGCTCTCTCCATCTCAAAAATAAATATTAGAAACAATTTTTTTAAGAGCACCCCTGCCAGCCTTATCCCACGCTGTGACTTGGGCACCAAAATGAACTGAATCCGTTAGTCACACTTTTATTACGTTTAACTCCATCTCAGAAATAGCAAGAATTCACACGCACTCGCGTCGTCTTTTCTCTGCTTCATGTAAGTTTTATCATTTCCTTCACACGGGCTTCATGTCAGTTTTGTTAAGTTATTAGGAAGTTAATTTTACGTCTATTTTAATACGTTTTGCAATATCCAACAGATGACCTCGGGGGTAAAAGTATGAACCTCTTTTTATACTCAGGCTCACGAAATTCGAAACAAAAACTAAAATCAAGCCTGCAGGGACCCTGCACAAGCTGCTGACGAGACCCCCAAGCAGCTGGGGTGCCTGGTCCTCCCGGGGAGGTCAGGACCCTGGTTGTCTCGGTCTGGGGGCAGGCTGACAGCGCCGCTTTGCCTGTTTTGTGGGCCAGGGCACCAGATGGCTGTGGGGCTTGCGCCGTGGCAGCTACAGATCTGGGTCCCGGTCAGGATCCCTGAGCCCCAGCTGCATCGTGCAGACATGCTGGGCCCCCAACCTCAGAGAGCAGAGGTACAGCCCTGGAGCCCACCACCCCCTCCTGGTCTGATCCCGTCACCCCACAAGACTGAGGATGCGGCCACGGGATTGTCGCCCCTAGCCGGACAAGGCACCTGCAGCTCGCACATTCACTCAGCAAGCACGGGAGGGCTCCTCCCAGCGGTGGATGTCAGGAGCCCCGGGGGCACAGCGGTGAGTGAGGCCTGGCCCTGGAGCCCCAGGAGAGGCAGAAATGGCACAGAAGTCCCTCCGGGAGGCGGTGAGGGGAGAGCCGCTGGCTGAGGCTGAGCAAGCCCTGTCCGGGGTGCACGGAGGCCGCATCCCGGTTGTGCAGTGCACAGCAAGGGCAGCTGTGCAGGGCTCAGGGACACAGAGTCACATGCAGCTACCCAGTTGAGCACGCCACACCCACTTGTGTGGCAAATGGCCAAACAGGGGCAGGCTCCCACGGCCATTTCCTATCTAGGACACACAAGCCACCCACGTGGACGCTCTGGGTCCGGTCTCTGCCTTTGAGCTCTATTGACCCGATACCACGCTCGGCGAGCTGTGACCACTCACGCAGTGGTTTATTTATGGACGGAATTCACGGAGTCACGGATCCACTCATTCGGCACTTCTAGCTTTGTTTCCCACCAGCTATGCGCCATGCCACATGCCATTCCGTGGAAATGAGAGCACCAGCAAGCCGCCACAGCTGGGTCTCAGTCACCTGCCCTCCTGGGCACCACGTGACCTCCCGTGACACAGTCCACACCGTGGGCGGCCATGGTACGCTTCCCCAGCAGAGTGGGTGCTCAGCCGCTCCAAGCACTGACCCCGCCCCAACGTTGCCACTGCAGAGATCGCATCTTTCCACAAAACCCACGCCAAGGGGCCACAGGACTTGGCACGCTGCCTCACCGGGCCAGGAAACCACACCGGGGCCATGATGTGGGCCGACACTGCGGCTTTGTGTGACCTAGTCACTCTTTGTCACCTTTCTCCTGGGCCCTACTTCAGGATCGCTGCCCCAGCTGCCTGAGAATAGGGACGCAGGTCCCCACCAGCTCACACTCACAGGACCTTCGTCCTCATAAGCCATGACGGGTACCTCCCCACTGCTGCTCACCCTGCGGACTTCGAGACCCACCAGAGGCAAGAGCACGGCTAACGCTGACTCACAGGCCCCCTCCGCTCGTGAGCTCACTGTGAGTCGGACCCCTGGCGCTGCTGGCCGCCCAGACCTGTGAACCGCAGCTCGGGTTCTGCACGGGGTTCGCAGCAAAGTCCAGCCGTTCTCTGGAGACACCCGCGTCCTGCTCCTGGGCCTTGTGGGGACTCGCCACTTGGCCACGGGCCAGCAAGGGGCCGCAGGACCTGAGCCGGGTGCTGGCTGACCCTCCAGGCCCTGAAGCCGGGCGTGCACAGCAACGCTCCGTCATCCATGGGAGAGGCATGGCCACGACGGGGCCCAGCAGGCCGTGGTATGCACGTAAATCACACAGAGAAGCGGCCCAGAGGCCGCGGTCCACGCTCCAGCTACCCCTTGGCCTCACGGATAGTGTACGTCGGCCGACAGAGGAACAGCAGATACTGCTGCTCGTGGATGTCAGGCGGCGCCCGGCTGGGCACCTGGCTTGGAGGGAGTGACGGCCACGTGTGCAATCATTCGGCGATTCGGGGGCCCCGGCCAATGTCTGGCTGGATGGTCCGGGAAGAGGTATGGCTGGAACACTGTGACAGGAAGTCACCGGTGGGGCAGACACATGCGGGAAGACCCGTATCGGTGGGCGGGCAACACCGGTGTCCCATGTGAATACCAGTCGGCGCGGGATGTGGCAGACAAGGAGTGTGCTAACCAAGCAGGTGAGACCACCCATTCTGTGGACACTGGTCAGCCTCCCTCCCCAGTCACCCCAGCTATCGCCCTATGGGCTCGCGGACACAGTGGCCACCGTGGCAGGGATGGAGGTGACGCCCAGGAACACGGACTTCCGCTCACGAGGGCCAACCTGACTACGGCCACCGCAGAGATCAACGGGGAGCCCCAGCACGGCGCCCTTCTGACGGGAGACACGGGGGAGGGTTCTGGGGATGAGTGTCGAGGCTGGCAGCCCCCTCACTGACCAAGTGACACTGCCGACCTCACCTGGGGCCCCTCCCGCGGCAGCAGGATTCGCTGTCCTCCCTCCGTTGTCCCAGGGGAGTTGCTCTGCGTGTGGATTTGCCTTCCCCGCCCACATGCTTCCATGGAAACTCCGCCCACAGACATGCACGATGTCTCACCCTCCCATCTCTCCCCAGAAACGAGCGTGGCAATGGCTATGTGCTGGGGTATCCCGCCGGCCTGACCGTGACCCTGCGACCCCAAAGCAGAGGCTTTACAGACAGTGAAAAGCATCGGCTGTGGTGCCGACGGTGTGGTAGCTCTCTCAGAGCCGTGTGCCACGGGGCTGTGGACAACACCGTGTGAAACCACGCAGGGAGCAATCCTGTTGATTGTCCCAAGACCCTTAAAAACATTTGTCAAAATAGCAAAATTCTCTTACCGTTGGTTATATAAAGAGAGAAAAAGATGTTCAGACTAATACGTATCTGGTACGTTTGTGATGGGCACCAGTGGTCCCCATGCTTTCTCCCTCGAGCCCCAGGCCAGTGAGGAGGCAGCGTCCCTCGACCACATGGCATCCTGTGGTGGCGGGTGGCAGCTGTGACTGGCTTTACCAGGGGCGGACCCGTTACTCGGCAAAGACTACTGGGGCCCGGGTCACCCACACCAGGTCTGTATGGCCAGCAGGTGGCAGAAGGGAAGCAGGAGGGCTGGGAGGACGCCACATGCCCGGGCTGGTGTGGGGACGGCCACAGGCAAGACTGGGGACAGGCTACTGGGAACTGTGGTGACAGTCCCACAACCGTCCAAGCCGGACCTGCTGACAGTCGGACTGAAGGAACCCCCGACAAAGCCCACAGGCACCTTCCCTTTCGTGGCCTCATGGTGCCTGGAGTGCAGAGCCAGCTGGCCGCCCCTGCCCCCGCCCCTCGGAGGCTGTGGTCACCTGTCAATGGGCTGAGAGGACAGACATGAGACCCTGGAAGCAGGGAGCAGCGGGGACCGGGCAGTGGGGGCAGGGACCGGGTGGGGCAGAGGTCCCCAAGCAGTAAGATGGGGAAGGTGTGCCCGCCCACCAGCTGCTTTACTTCCACCTTCTCTGCTCTCTGGCTGCAGATGCCAGGCTCCACCAGGGGCAGAGACCCGGCCAGGGAGAAGGCTGAATCCCTTCCGCCCGGCAGGGGCACCGACGCCCCCGTGTGCACATGCAGCTTCCCAGGGGCTCTGCCTGCCAGAGGCCAGGGAGCTGGGAGGGAGGCTGCCGGGTTTTGAGGGGACGCCAGGCCTCCTCCCAACCCTGTGCTGCTGGGTGAGCACAGAGCCGGCTGTCCACGACACGCCCCGAGGAAGGCCGGCCCCACGGGCAGGAGGGCCCAGAGCCTGGGTCTTGGTGGCAGAACGGAGTCCCCGGAGAAAACCAGCCTGGGCCCTCCCTCCTCTCTCGGGCGTTTGAGTATGTGAGGCAGCAAATTCCCTTTGTCACCCGAGACCTGTACGTAGCTGGCGATTTTGTCTCTTGTAAAGTATCGTCCCTTACGGCCCCCGCACAAAGGCCTGCACTCCACACGAACACCTGATCCCAGAGACGTTTGCTCAAACGCAAAGGGCTAAATTGCTCTTCTGAAAACTGGCCTTCTGATCCTGTCTCTATGCCCCCCTACCCATCTCTGGGCCATGCCCCGGCGGGAATGCTCAGAACTAGCACAGGGCCGCCCACGGCCTGGCAGACTCTGAATCCACACGCATCCGGCTGGAGACCTGAGGCCGCCTCTGCCAGGAGCAAGTGTCCACCCACACCGGCTCCCAGCTCCCCGGAGGGCACAGCAGGCCATAGAAGCCAATCACGTGACTAAGCTGTCTTCCTTGGAGTGCAAGTGTCACTCCGTCTATGAAGATGAAAAAGCCAGAAACATGGTTTAGGTAAGTATAATTTTCCCAGTTAAAAACAAGGAAGTTACCTATGCATAGCAACGCAGCTAAGTGAATAAAACCGAATTTAGTTTTTCACAAAGTTGCTGTTTCCCACAATCACGCAAAGCTAACACTGGGTCTGCCGCCGTAGCTGCGGGGTGACAGGGAAATGGGGGGCGTGGAGATGAGGCCTGGAGGCCACCGTGGGGCTGGGACCCAGCGCCCCCCTGGGAGCATGGCCGCTCAGGGCGCCAACCCAGGCCTGCCTTAAAAGTCACAACAGCAAAGCCAACAGAGAACCCCAACTACCACATGAGCGCACAACAGACCGCCAGCCTCCTGCTCTGGACTCTCCACTCAGGAGAAGGCGCTCACGGGTGTCCCTCACTCCAACACTACAGACCACCTGCCCCGTGTCCCCAAGGTGCTCCCAGAACTCCCGGTAGCGCCCAGCCCACGACGGGGCTTCGTGAGCTCCTGCTACTCCAGAGGGGGTCAGGCGGAGGCCACACACAGGACACGACACACACACACACACCTGGACCCGGGTGACGTGCAGATACAGGACGCAGGCCACCAGGAAGCAGATACAGAAGGCCAGCAGCAGCAGGAGGACCAGGTTCCTAGGGCAGAGGATGCAGGGTCACCGTGGCTGGAGCAGGTGCCGTGTGCCCACTGGCTGCCTGGGAGTCTCCCCTAGCCCCCACCCCACCAGCTCCCTTCCCGCCTCCACCCCAGCTTCCGTCGGCCCTGGACCCGCCGAGAGGTCCTCTCTCACGAAGGGCTGGCCGCCGGGCACTGCCCTCTGACTGGAGTTCATCTGGGAGCGGCTCTTCTAGAAAAGGCTTGATCCCCAGGCAGGGCCATCGGGAGGTCACCTCGCTCACGGTGTCTGGAGATGGGGCGGCTCCCATGTGCTTTCTGGAAACTCTAAGGGGACTACTGCCCTTGGGAGGGCTCATTAAGAAAGTGCTCCGTCTGAGGGGCGCCTGGGTGGCTCAGTCGGTTAAGCATCCGACTTCAGCTCAGGTCATGATCTCGCGGTTTGTGGGTTCAAGCCCCGTGTCGGGCTCTGTGCTGACAGCTCAGAGCATGGAGCCTGCTTCAGATTCTGTGTCTTGCCCCTCTCCCACTTGTGCTCTGTCTCTTTCTATCAAAAATAAATAAATGTATAAAAACAATTTTTTTAAACAGAAGAAAAAAAAGAAAATGCTCCATCTGGGAGACAGATGTATCGTCCCCGCCAAGAAACAGCCCTACCAGACTCACTGTGACTCAGCAGCCCAGATGCCGCTCTGCTGCTACCTCTTTCTTCCTCCCTAGAGCCCGCTATCTCATTCTAACGTGTCTGAAATGACCCACGCCTGGAAACCCAGCTGCATTTCCTCCCTCAAAACCTGTCCTGAAGTTGAGGGTGCACGTGTGTGCATGGAGATGCTGAAAATACACGGCGTCCCAGGACTGGCTCAGTTAAACATTAGAAACAGAGCAAGCGTCCCGCACATGTGCGTCGGGGCCTCACACAGCCGGCCACTGGGCAAATGGACAGCTGGCTGTGGCCGGGACCGCGGGAGAGTAACCAGCGGAGAAGGAGGGAGCCCCCGTGCCCCTGTCCTCCGGCCGCCGTGCCCCCGACACTCACTGTGGGATGATGAGCAGGTAGACGAGGCCGAACAAGGCAGCCAGGACGAGGGCCAGAACGACGGCGCTGGTAAAATACTCGTCCTGGAGCTGGTGATACTAGGAGACACAGAGACCCGCCATTGGTGGCTGCGGCTTCCAGGAGACACGCGGGGTCCTCCCGAGGGTGCCCCCCTGGGAACCGCGGCCGCGTCCGGAAGAGCGAATGCGGGCGGCCACGGCCGAGGGGCCTCCGGGATCCCCCGCGCTCCTGAGGTCCCGGTCACCTACCTTGCGCTCCCGCTCAGCCTGCTTGTACTTGAGGGTGAAGAAGTCCAGGTCCGCCATCTCCAGCTCCGTCTGGCGCGCTTCCAGGAGGCGGCCAATGTACCTGTTGACGCGTGTGCCCGGGGTGGTGTAGACGGCGTTTGCGGAGAACGACGAGCGGTTTCGCAGTTTCTCCGACGCGGTTCTCAGTGCCCTCCGCTGCGGCCGTCGGGGAGAGAAAGAAACGTCAACAAATCCTCCTCGTGTTGAAGAGAAAGCTCTCTCACCCCCTCGGGCCCATGTGCTCGCCCGCTGCAGAGTCTGGGGGCCCGGGGCTGGGGGCCTGAGATGCAGTCACGGTTCCACTGCCGGCTGGCGCCCGAGATGCCAGGGGACTTAGCTCAGCGTCGGCGCTGGGGCTCCGTGTCCGCAAATGGGGTCACACGATGTGTATGTGGCAGCCGTGTGGATGGGGTGAGGGGGGGATGAGAGGCAGTACCCAGCACAGGGTAATAGAACAGAAATTGGTTCTTTAAAAATATCAGTAAAACTGAAAAGTCTGTAGCAGGCATGACAAAGGAAAAGAGAGAAAGACACTAACAGATTCAGGAAAAAAAATGCGATTCAACTACAGGCCTTGAAGATGCCAAAAGGGCAAGAAGGAAATACTTTGAACAGTGGTACACAATTAAGTTGACAACTTAGATCAGTGAACTACTCCAAACACACATATACTACCACAACTCACCTGACATGAAACACTGTTAGACTGGCCCTGTAATTACTAAAGAAATTCAATTCATAGCTTCAAAATTCCTGAAAAATTAATCTCCAGGCCCAGATGATTTCACTGGAGAATTCTCCTAACTATTTATTTTTTTTTTTTTAATTTTTTTTTCAACGTTTTTATTTATTTATGGGACAGACAGAGACAGAGCATGAACGGGGGAGGGGCAGAGAGAGAGGGAGACACAGAATCGGAAACAGGCTCCAGGCTCCGAGTCATCAGCCCAGAGCCTGACGCGGGGCTCGAACTCACGGACCGTGAGATCGTGACCTGGCTGAAGTCGGACGCTTAACCGACTGCGCCACCCAGGCGCCCCTCACCTAACTATTTAAATGAGAACTAACACTAACTCTATACAATCTCTTCCAGAAAACAGAAGAGGCAACACCTTCCAACTCACTTCACAAGGTCAGTATTGTCCTGATAACACAACCAGACCAAGACAGTACAAAAAAGGAACACCACAGGCCATCTCTCTCAATACTGATGCAAAAATTCTTAACAAAATAGTAGCTAATAGAATTCAGCACAATATGAATAGAAGTACACACCGTGACCACATCCAGAGACACAAGGCTATTTACATATTTGTACACGAATGCAACATATCACATTAACACCCAATTAACCACCATATAAAAAAACCCATGGTTGTATGAATTGACGCACAAAAGGCATTTTGACAAAGTTCGATACCCATTCTTGATAAACATGATCAGAACACTAGGGAGGGAGGGGAACTTCTCCAACCTGATGAGGAAGATCTACAGAATATTGACAGCCAGCGTCATACTCGCTGGTGAAAAACGGAGTTTCACCACAGTACTAGAAACCCCATCCAGTGCAATAGGGCAAGAAAAGAAAATAAAGACAAACTTATTAGAAAGAGAGAAACGAAACTATCCTTATGATAAGTGACATGATGGTCTACATAGAAAGTTCCAAGGGGAGGAAAACAAATGAATTCCACAAGATCACTAGATACAAGATGAACATAAAGAAAGTATTTCTTTAATACCAGTAATCAGCACGTGAAGACGAAATTAAAATTCAGGACCATTCATAATCACAGAGAAAAATGAAGTAGGTACAAATCTAACAAAACACAAACACAATACGTATGCTGAAAACTATATAATGCTGATGATGAAGGAGATTAAAGATCTCAATAAATGGAGAAACGCGTGCTTGGGGATTAGAAGACACAACACAGTGAAGATACCAATTCTCCTCAGATTGATGTACACAGGCTTAACATAATTTTATCAAAATCCTAACAGGAACTTTTTTATGGATAGACAAGCTTTTTCTAAATATTAAACAGAAAGCAAAGAGGCTAGAATAGCTCATTTGTCTTAAAAATAATATAGTGAAAGACACCACTCGGCCCAACATGAAGACTGATTGTGTAACTACATTACTTGGGATGGTATGGTGTTGGTGGAGGGCCAGACACAAAGGTCTGTGGAACAGACCAGACAGCCCAGAAGCAGCTTCCTATAAGTATGGTCAAGGGTTTTTGACTAAAATCCAAAAGCAATTCAACGGAAGAAAAACTGTCTTTTCAACAAATGGTGCTGGACCAAATGGACGTCCATAAGCAAAAAAGTAAATCTTGACCTAAACCTCATACCTTATAAAAAAAAAAAAAAAACTAACTCAAAATGGATCACAGGATTAACTATAAAACATACACAGTAAAACCTTGGATTGTAACTTGTTCTGCGAGGGTTCTGTAAGACGAGCAAACATTTCTAAGAATTTTAACTTGATAAGCAAGTGATGTCTTGCAACATGAGTCGAACATGACACTGAATGACACGTGATCACAACTGAGCCAATGGTCCTTGTCTCTCTCTGCAGGATTGTGGGCGATCATCTCCCAGGCTCGGATGCTCGGTCTCAGGCTGTGGTGTTTGGCAGAAATCAGTGATTTTTCAGCACGTTGGAAGGTGCCCACAACTGGCACTGGTGTCTTTTCTGTCACTTCAAAGCACCTGTGGACCGTCCTTTGCTTTTCCATACAAGAGTGAGCTTAGGAACGCTTTGCTTCATTCTAGCTCAGGCTGCCTGCGGACAGAGACCCTTTCCTCCACTGCCTTATTACCAGTTACAGTAAATACAGTCTATGACGAGAGTTTATTAATACTGCACTGTAGTCAACATCCATGTGAGCGTATACAAGGGCCCCCATGCAGAAGAAGATCCCATGGGACCAATAGACAGCAGTGATTCCATTAGTGATTGTGAAAGTCGTCCTACACAGTAACCCTCCTCTCTCGTCTCCCTCACACAAGCCACCAGGTTTTCAGAAGTAAGTGCAGGTTAACTTATTTTTCTTTATATTCTATATTTTCTTTATTATTTTGTATCATGTTACAGTATTGTAATCATTTTTGTATGAATATTTTTGGGTTGTGGAATGAATCATCTGAGTTTCCGTTATTTCTTCCAGGGAAATTTACTTTGATGTACAAGTGCTTTGGATTACAAGCATGTTTCTGGAACAAATTATGCTCACAAACCAAGGTTTACTGGTAAGTATAAACTCTTAAAAGAAATGTTAAAATCTTCGGGGTTTGGGCTACATAGACGGCTCTTAGGACACCAAAAACACAGCTCATAAAAAAAAAAATATCGGTAACCTGGACATCTTCAAAGTTTACAATGCCTGTCCTGTGAAAGATGCTGTACACAGGTGAAAAAACAAGACAACAGCACCAAAAAATCAATCCAATCAGAAAGCAGACATTTCACCAAAACAGAAGAGAAAACACGGATAAAAAATAAGCCCCTGGAAGAGCACCTGGGTGGCTCAGTCAGTTAAGCATCCGACTTTGGCTCAGGTCGTGATCTCCTGGTTCGTGGGTTCGAGCCCCGCGTCAGGCTTTGTGCTGACAGCTCAGAGCCTGGAGCCTGCTTTGGATTCTGTGTCTCCCTCTCTCTCTCTGTCCCTCCCATGCTTTCTCTCTCCCTCTCTCTCTCAAATAAATAAAACATCTAAAAAAATTTTTTTAAAGAAAATAAGCCCCTAGAAAGATGGTCGGCATCATTAGCCACCAGGGAAATGCAAAATAAAATCGTGACATGTCACTATACACTTACTAGGTCAGCCAAAATTAAAAAACAATAGCGGCAGCATCGAGTGCAGGCGACGACACAGAGAAGCGGGATCCCGTACGAGGCTGGTGGGAATGTGAGGTGGGGCAGTCAATCCAGAAAATGGGTGGGCAGTTTCTCAAAAAAAGAAAACAAAACAAGACCCATCCTGTGTACCCTGACGCATGGCTGGGCATCCCTCCCAGAAAAGGAGCATTCGCATCCACACAGGACTCTCAACATGAGAACTCACTACAGTTTTATTTGTCGTGGCCAAAGCCGGAAACAACCAGAAAGTCCTTCAACAAGAGTGGTCAAGCCAACGGCGGTCCATCCACACCGTGGAATGCCAGCCGGCCACGGAAGGGGGGGAGCTGCTGACACAGGGTCAGCCTGGAGACACCCCAGGGCTTTGTGCTGAGTGAAGAAACAGCCAAGTTCACAGGGCGCAGACCAAGGGATTCCACGTGTATGACATTCCCAAGTGATGGTCACTGGAATGGAGAAGACTCAGCGGAGCCGGGGCTGGGGGTGGCGGCATGACCGCAGCAGAAGGGGGACCGTGGCGGTGATGGAAACGTTCCGTATCCTGAGTGCGGCCACCAGGACAGGACGGAGCAGAGCCACACACACCACCCACCCAAGTCCATTCCCCACACGGGAGCTAGGTGAGACACGACCGCGAGGGAGGCCGCTGAGGGCCCCAGAGGCTGTGTGTGTGCGTGGGCAGCTTGATGCCACAGCTGACACGTGGGGGGTCCGTGCAGTGCATCACCTTGACTTCCGGAGAGCTGTGGAAACGTAAAGTAAGTAAGGACAGAAACCCGTTGCCCGCAAGCCACTGATGTTTGCGCCAATGCCAGGCTGCGAGTGTGTTCTTTCCGGTTCCACGGCCCCTGCCTCCCTGGGCCCGGGAACAAGCCCAGGAAAACCCACCGGCGAGCAGGGCCAGAGGGCCCACGATCCTGAACTGGCCCCCGTGAACGCGCTGTCCCCCGGACCTGACGCATCCGTGCACCCACCACACCCACCACCTGAGAGCCCTCAGCTCCTATGAGGGTCCGGCGCGCAGAGAATGGCAGGCAGAGCACGGCCCCCTGACCTCGGCTGTTTCGGGAGGATTAGCTGAGCCCACCTGCCCACGTCTGCAGAGGCAAAGGGGGCAGGACTGAGTTCTGGGGGCCAGGGTCGTCCTCACTCGGGACCCTGGGCAGGCTCGTGAGGTCCTGCAGGACACCTGCGTGCAGAGCGCCCGCTGCACCCTGACCCCCAGGCCCGACCCCTGACCCACAGCTCCTTGAATGGGGCAGGACCTGAGCCGGTGCCACTCCCC